AAAAGATTTTGTGTTGACATAGGGACTAAGTTCACAAAACACGGAGATGTAAGCATACCCCAATTATACAGCATTCAAAATTTACAAAAACCTTTAGAGGTCAACACACGGTCTAGCAATATGGACATTAATTATAAAAGCTTTTAATTATATTAATGATTATAGGAAATAATTTTAGAGAAAACACAGTTACATGAATTTCTAGTCTAGAATTTTTTTTCATATTTAAATTGACGAGAAACGGAAAACAAACGTACATGTACATAATTTTTTTCATATATTGGATAGTGGGTTGGGAAGTTATTTCATCAAATACTTAACTCAACTTTAGTCTGGGAAACTTGGTCTATTTATTAATATACTAAGTAATTGGCCTTAGGAATACCTTTCAATTACTGCGAGAATTGGAACTCTTATATCGGTTCTTTATGTGGCTTTTGTCATTTTGTATCCTGTTTTTCTTCGGCTTATCGTCTTTGCTTGTTCCATTACTACATGACATGTGCATCTATTATTAAAATATTCTTCAGGTCGAAAAAACTCAGGGAAGAAAAAATAATAAACAAGTTTAAACGTTTGAGCAACAAGACCAATAAGAAAAAAACTGAAAAACTAAATTGCTCGACAAAGCGGAAACTAATTTTGACATGGAAATAAGTTTCATTTATGTAAACAATTTTTAAATATTAAAAGTAAACATATATAACGTTAATTATGCAACTTTGGAGACACACTTATAAATATGATCATAGACTACTGAAATCCGTTGGTGGACCACCACCTATAGTAGAAATAGTAAAGAAAATCAGAGAGAAACCAGACATGTCCAGTATACCGAAGGTTTAAGAAATCCGAAGCACCGATTCTTAAAACAAAAAAACATATTATAAATAATTATAAGACTAAATATGCAATTGTACAAACAATTCAAATTAAAAAATATTAAACATTTCTCCTCGATCAATCTTTATTATTTTGTTGTTAACAACGTAAATACACAGTTTTGTCACATTTTTATTTTTCGACCGATTTTTATTCTTGTTTAGTTGTTACCAACGCACATATTCAGTTTGCGGTAACATTTTCAACAAATTTTAATTGTTGTTAAGTTGTTACCAACGCAATTATTCAGTGTGTGGTCATCAACCGTTAATATTCGATCTGAAATAAACAGTAAACTTGTAAACGGTAAACAAAAGTAATTTTCATCCTTTCAAAAGATTATCCAACACTGTTAGAAAGGGTTTACCGGTGGATGTCGAACCGTTACAATAAAGGTTATTTTAAGGAAAGTTTATTCAACCTAGTATTGAAATAACATTGAAGTATCAATAGATATAAATAATAAATGATTGAAATATTATATTTGAAACACCATTGTTTTAGAATCGATGTATACGAAAATACTATTTTGATGCTATTTAGCATTTACTATAAACCAGTAAAAGTCAGAATGGACAGTATTTGTACTCTGTACTGATTCTTACTCAACCATCCTGAATAAGTCTGAATTTACTGGAAATTACTTAATCCCAATCTTAATCATATTCGACTGTACTGATCTGTAGTAGACCCTAATCTAGACCATACTTAAAAGTCTGAACTAGTACTTGACCAGTTTGAAATAGTCTTAAATAAAGGCAACAGTAGTATACCGCTGTTCGAAACTCATAAATCGATAGAGATAAAAACAAATCCGGGTTACAAACTAAAACTGAGGGAAACGCATCAAATATAAGAGGAGAACAACGACACAACAAAAACACAACATTAAAATGTAACACACACAGAAACGAACTATAATATAACAATGGCCATTTTCCTGACTTGGTACAGGACATTTTAAGAAAAAAATGGTGGGTTGAACCTGGTTTTGTGGCATGCCAAACCTCCCGCTTTTATGGCAACGTCAAACACAACACCAAAACGACAACATCACGTGACAGGACCACAATACAAATAAATGGGAGAACATATAGGACAAAGAAACACACGAATAATAGCTAACAAAAGGTACTAGGCTTAAAATTCAATACGCCAGACGTGCGTCTCGTCCACACAAGACCAACCAGTGACGCTCAGATGAAAAAAAGTTTGAAAGCCAAAACAAGTACAAAGCTGAAGAGCACCGAGGACCAAAACTTCCTGACCTGTACTTAACCCGTTCTCAATCTGTTTTCAATGTCTGAATCATACACGACCAAAGGTCTGAACTGTACTCGACCAATTCTTAATCATACTCGACCAGTTTATTTCTATTTTTATTAATCTTGATTTTGTGACTGACTATATTTTCAAACTATTAGACGATATTTCTTGTCAGTTTTAAATAAATGCAATTAAGACTTGCATTGTTTACGTTTATGATGAATACATTACCATTCAGAACTATAAAAAAAAGATTAAATTATACACAAATACAAGCATATACTACGGCCATCAAAATGACCATGCAAACAACTTTTAAAGTTAACATTCAGAATGATCGACTAAGAATCAGTACATTTGAGTACGCACACTGCCCGTTTCGGGTTTTTACTGGCTTGTAGTGATTTACTTTGAAAGGTGACTTTGACTGCGCTAATTTACAGAATAAGATATTGTGTGAGTGTAGTCTTATAATGGTAATAATTTTTCGATTTCTTTCGAAAAAAAAAAATTTTGTCCAATGGCGATTTAGCATTTGCTTTCATATTCTAATTAAGATTTTCACACTGAATGAAATTCGATACAAAAATATCATAACTATTATGCTAAAATATAAAGAGTATAACCCAATTTAAAAATAATACAAAGTCAAAATGGACATTTCATATCCTTTTAATATGCTCATGAATGTTAAGGTCCGATGTGTAATTGGGGAGGAGATAGTTTTAAATGCAACGAATGATTGTCGCGTTGTATTTCGGAGACAATTAAATGTATTATGGATACTGTTTATTTGATAAAATAAATATCTACAGGTTGAATATATTTTTCCCTACTTAATTCCTGATTTACACCAATTCATTCCATTTTCTTTTTTTTTATTATTTGATATGCTATGTTACATACAATCATATCTTTCTTTACTGAACAATCTGAACAATCATTCGTGTCTCAAGTATTAAATTGAATTTAGAGGATACCATCTACCTCTAAGTCTTGTTTGGTTGTTGTATATGTATCATTTACTTTTGCCCTACACATCCTTTTATTTTCTATTTTATTAGAATTGCTAATAGCGTATACCAATAGTATAACTAATATAAATTCTTGACTTTAAATTCATAACTCTTTACTTTTTGAAAAATAAAACAGTTCACTACTTGCATACATGTTTTGAACAGCTGAACATTATACATTTGTGTTTTCCCTGGTTGTTCACAAATATAGCACAACAAGGATGATATGTTATAGATAATGCATATTTTAAGGTTTTTCTTGTCGTAGAACACCCCGAGGTGTGTTCTACGACAAGAAAAACCTTAAAATATGCATTATCTGACTTATATACCGTCAAAAAAATATTGTTTTTTATAAAGATTTGCAAAATTTAGCATCCTATTTTACCGACCACACTAAAGTGGGATATTCCTTTCTCTTGCGTTCAGGTTTTAATACGCCCTACGGCTCATTTGGAATGTGAAATAAAACTCACTAATTAATCTAGATATAAACCTTAGAAATTATTATTATCCATACACAATAAAAATATTACTGTAACTGCATGAAGTAAGACACAAATGGATTGTTACCATCTGATAACGGTGTATGAAAAATACAAGACACTTTGTAAGTAATTTATTGTACCAACTTAGTTTATGGAAAGGGGGAGGTGCTATGTTTTTTTTTTTTGCCAATTTGTAATGACATTTTATCGCGGAAAAGTGATTATTTTTTCAATAATCAGGATATAATTATATACCCTCCCCCCCCCCCCCCCCACCCGACCTCATTGTGAGGTACGTGAATGTTATTCAATAGAATATAAGAATATTTTATTAGTTAATCATTCGATAGAGTAAAAGGTATACATAAATGTTAAAAAGTTAAGAAGTGACACGAAGGGGGCACGAAATCGTGATACATGTACATGTTACACGAAAACGAATATCAATACATGCTGTTCGGTGTGAGCCAAGGCTCCGTGTTGAAAACCGTACTTTGACCTATAATGGTTTACTTTTATAAATTTTGACTTGGATGGAGAGTTGTCTCATTGGCACTCATACCACATCTTCTTGTATCTATGTAGGTCACAGTATGATTTCCTATTCAGTGTGTATCGTCCTGAACATGCATGAAATATTTGCCACTGGACGTTAAGTAACCATCAATCAATCAACCTATTCAGTGTGAATCAATAAGATTTTCGAAATCTTACACACAAATATGATAAATCTGGCTTTATTTTAAAGTGCTATGAAAGTTTTACATTAAAATTTATCTCGCATATATGATAATGTCTCTGTATTGTAGCGTTAAATTAACAAAACTTTCACATTATTTGTTTCTAAAATTAAAATTCGGGCAATGACGATTTTTTTTACACCTATCATAGATTGAACTTTAAAAAATAAATTACCAAATCGGCAACAGAAACTATCAGACAAATATAATTTTGAAGTAAATTATAATTTGCATTTTTATCAAGGAAAATAATGACCTCACACAGGTCATTATTTTATGCCTTTGAGCATATTTCATTGAAACATGGTATCGTCCGGGTTGATTCTTCGAAAGAATGACCTATCGTTCTGAAAGAAAATAACTCCATATAGGTATATAAGTTTAAATCAAAAGAAATTTGTTATTATAATTACGAGTTTATACTGCTTTCTGTAGTTGTAGAAGACTTTTACTTCTTTATTATAAGAACACTTGCTTAATGTATTATAATTCTGATATTGAAATGTTCGAATTCTTATTCAAACCAAACAAAAACTGCTCCCGATTTAAAGTTTACTAGTGTACTATAAAATTATTACCTTATACACTACAATAAATGATGTACTTACTCCCGCCCCTCCTCCGATGCCCCCTGCCTTGACCACACTTGTCCAGTTCCGTGGTGTTAGCTTGTCCTTTCGGACTTCTGTTTGTTCAGATGAGTTGTCAGTCGTTGCAATTTTAGGTTTTATAACATCGTGGGTTTTTCTTGAACTAATGGTAATTGTGCATCCCATTTGAGGCATAAGTCATATTTCCCTACGGCATAATTTTTTAATATGTATTCCAGTGTGTCATTTTAATCAAATTCCGCTTTATTTATGTCGATTTAATTTTCCAAATTATGAATTTACTCTCTTTTGTGGAATTGAACATTCTTTATGTTTGTATATACTACTTGAGAGTCAAAATCCTATAACAAAATGAGAGTTTACTATACTTCACTATCCGTTAGCATGTATTGATAATACCCTGAACAAATACGCTTAATAAAAACAAACTACCTAAACTAAATGAAATCAACATCATCAACACCACGTGGTTACGTTTCAGCAGGTATTGCAGGCGGACCAATCAATACCAATTTTACCTGAGTTAAAAATGCTTTTAGTTGTCTCCCCTAACAAAAAGAAAAAAAAGTATTGTAATTTAACCAAATATCTGATTGTTTCATCAATCAATATAAGGATCCCGTGTCTATGAAATTTTGCCTTTTATAGCATTGGATCGATACACTATTGAATTTACAGAAGTAAAACGCATTGAAACTATTAAACGGTGATTGGTTTTCCATAACATTATAAATAATAAATGAATATCTGACGTCAGAATATTTAATGTGATTAATCTCCAATTGAGCATGGTTGAACATGCAATACAGACATATGAATAGTGCCCTAGAGGTTGCTTAATTCACGTTTTGTATTGACTCTGCAGATATAATACAAAGGTCAGAGCAAAGAACGAACATAATTTTTCCATTCTTGCTTTGAAGGACTGATCGATACTTTCATTTTGGTAAATCTAAATTATTGATAACAATTATTTGACTAAGAGTATTTAAAGGAATAAGTTATACAAATGTACATTTCCATATAAACAGAATATTAAGTTTATTTCTTATTACATGACCTACTCTTAAACAATCTTCATGGACTGGTAACCTCCAGGTAACATTTCTTAGATTCTTTCAGAACTGTGACGTATACTGCTAGATGACGTTACATCAAAATTAACGATAAGTTGGAAAATTTTCAAACTAATAAAAATATTGACTATTAACAACAAGACATTATCTTTCCATTTCTTTTCTTAGTCCTTAAGGCTGTAAATTGTAAAAAAAACACAAATACAATCAGAATACAATTGGTAACTAGAACTCTGAACATTCTTAAACTATACCTATATTTATGTCAATTGTCAATGTGGTCCTTTTCAAACATTTGATAAAAATATATGTAATAGACGTAAGTCACACAGAAGAAGAAGAGAAAAACATGAATTAACCAAATGATACCTACCTAGTCTTTGTTATGCACGGAGGTTCATAAGGCAAGGACTAGATATCCAGACTACAATGCAAAATTAATATAAAAAGGAAACAAGCTTAAAATCAAAAGACAAGTTCTTTAGCAAACCCTTTAACGTAGACTTTTAGCAATGCGATCCTTAAAAAAAACATGAATGGAATTCGGTGCTCTTAAAGAGCATATCTTGTTCAAAGAGGTTTACATTTTTAATATAATCGGTAACACATTTTCAGCTTCAGGTCTCACTAAGTAGCAGCACAAACTTAATTGGTTAGTATCATATAACGATTCTGAATATTCGTTCTATTGGAAAGCCTCGGCGGCGGGTAGTCAATGGTTCGGTTTCCGGCCTGGTCCAACCAAAGACATTAAAATTTGTATATGTTGCTTCTCTCCTATACACGTAGCATTTTGATTTAGATAAAAGACTGGTCGGCTAGGATTAAAAAATGTATGTCCTGCAAGGGAGATGACCTCTACTGTTTAATTTTATCTAGTCCATTAGCACGTTAAAACTCGGAGTCAGTGTGTTGGTCTTGTACAAAGCAGAATTTATGCATATTAACATTTTCTGGTTCTGATATGCATTCTATATTTGCCACTGGATGTTAAACAGCAATCAGTCATCATCTAGCACCACTTCTATTTAGGGACTTGGGACAGGAACGTGATCAAAAAGTAAAATAACAAAAATACCGAACTCCACGGAAAATTCAAAACGGAAAGTCCCTTATCAAATGGCAAAATCAAAAGCTCAAACACATCAAACGAATGGAAAACAACTGTCATACTCCTGACGTGGTACAGGCATTTCTTTATGTAGATTAAACCTAGTTTTATAGCTAGCTAAACCTCTCACTTGCATGACAGTCGCATAAAATTCCATTGTATTGTCAACAATGTGTGAACAAAACAAACAGACATAATAGATAAAAATGTCAAAAATTGGGGTACAGCAGTCAACATTGTGTTATAATCTTAATCACTATAAAAACAAACAAATATGTCAAGTGACGTGATAAAACTTATTTTTTTCAGATCTCAACCCTCCCACTTTTCATCTTGATCAGTGGAAAACATATATAAAAATCGTTCAATAAAAAAGAACATAAAATGAAAATTAAAAAAATAAACATCTAGCTTTATAAACCAGTAGATAAGATAAGAAAAATATAAAAGTTATCAAAGGTACCAGGATTATAATTTAATACGCCAGACGCGCGTTTCGTCTACATAAGACTCATCAGTGACGCTCAGATCAAAATAGTTATAAAGCCAAACAAGTACAAAGTTGAAGAGCATTGAGGACCCAAAATTCCAAACAGTTGTGCCAAATACGGCTAAGGTAATCTATTCCTGGGATAAGAAAATCCTTAGTTTTTCGAATTATTCAAAGTTTTGTAACAGGAAATTTATAAAAATGACCATATAGTTGATATTCATGTCAAAACCGAAGTGCTGACTACTGGGCTGGTGATACCCTCGGGGACGAAACGTCCACCAGCAGTGGCATCGACCCAGTGGTGTAAATAGTTATCAAAGGTACCAGGATTATAATTTAATACGCCAGACTCGCGTTTCGTCTACATAAGACTCATCAGTGACGCTCAGATCAAAATAGTTATAAAGCCAAACATGTCAAGTACAAAGTTGAAGAGCATTGAGGACCCAAAATTCCAAACAGTTGTGCCAAATACGGCTAAGGTAATCTATTCCTGGGATAAGAAAATCCTTATTTTTTCGAATTATTCAAAGATTTGTAACAGGAATTTATCAAAATGACCATATAATTGATATTCATGTCAACACCGAAGTGCTGACTACTTGGCTGGTGATACCCTCGGGGACGAAACGTCCACCAGCAGTGGCATCGACCCAGTGGTGTAAATAGTTATTAAAGGTACCAGAATTATAATTTAATACGCCAGACGCGCGTACAGCAAGAATGTACAGAAAGAATGCTCGCAGTTATTAAAAGAAAAAAAGCTCAACGTACTTTACAACGCGCGTCTGGCGCAAATACTAAATTCCAATGCTGGTATCTATGATGAGTTTATTTCCAGATTATAAAACCATGCCGTCTTAACTGTACTATCCGGCGCAACAAGAACAAAAAGACATGACCTGGTGAAACATATGCAGAATTTCAACGCAGATAAATCAAAGAAAACGTTTTGTCTTGTTTCAATCAAAATTTATAGAATCATATTCATAGAAAAAGGAAGAAGCAATATGTAATTGATTTCTAAATTTCTAACGCATAGTGAACATGATGACGGTACTTCAAGAAACAAGTGCCATGCGCGGTGAAATCTATTATATTTCATAATATAGTAGCAATGGTATCTTTTGAGCAGTTAACCCAAAGATTTAAGGTTGAGTTAATAATATTTTAATAACAAAAAGGCTCAATAAGACCGTATCTCACTGCAAATTTCTATTTTATGACCATATTCGCAGTAATCAATACTGTCGTAATTGTATTCATCTTCAAATATAGATGAACTGTGCACAGGCACTTGTCTATGATTTTTTCAATTTTAATATAACACAAGGTAACCAACTGGTTGTCTATCCCACTGAAACTTGTTATGTCGTAAATATATCTTACATTATCTACAAAATGATGTATAACACGCTTATTTCTGTTGTCGGAATCATATATCCAATGAACATTCAGTAGTTTATTTAGGTTGTAAAAGGTAGTAGCAAAAATCAAATATATAACTTGAATTGTGTTTATCTGGATTTTTTTTTTTAATTCAAAACAATTTATTTCCAATATCCTGTTACAATTACCTTACAAGCTCGACAGAGCATACATACCTTTTCCACTCCTGTCCGAGGAAAACAGGCAAATAAAATGTCCACTTTACAACTCTCCTAGATTTTAATGGGTTTTTTTCTGGAAATGAAATAGTTATCTGTCTTAAAGTTAGCTTTTTGCTACATACTACAGAAATAAACAAACACACAAACAAACAAATATAACATACATAAACAAAAAATCAAATATCACACAAACAAAGGAACAAACAACGTGATCCTATGGAATAGAATGTGTATTGATTCTTAATATAAAATCGACAAACGCTATTATTAATACACAAAAGAACAGCGCTTTTATTGTTGTTCTTCTCAAATTCACAAGGAGGTCTTCAGCGATCGAGGACCAAAAGCTTCCCAGCATCTCAAAGACGGATCATATGCACCATGAATGTGTCAGAGAATTGTACCTTTTTCTGAACTTACATATTGATTTGTTTGTTAAGTTTGAACAAACAACACTAGTCCTTATGAAAATATTTTACTAATAATTGGATATTAATATAAAGTGAACATCAAATTAATACCAATTCGAAATTATTTTTTTTCAAAATGGATGAAAAACATGAAGAGTGACAGTTATATGCCATGGCGTTGTCAGTTTGTTTTCGATCTATGAGTTTGACTGTACCTTTGGTATCTTTTGTCCCTCTTTTATACGCAGAGTTAAGTATCAATTAATGGGTGTTTTCATAATGGCCCTGTTATATATACAAGGTCTGTAATAATTAGCTGAGGATGTCTGCTATGGCCTGCTCTAACATAATAAAAAAATATGAGGTTGAGTAATTAATAAGAATAGAAAAATTTCCAGTAGATTACTTTATAAATGATTCAGTGTCTGCCTACTTATTACGCGAATTGAAAAATAAATGAAATCAAGTAAAAAATAGTATACTTTTGTTAAATATTAGTTATTATAAACCACATAAATTTGTTCAATTAAGTGAAAATTCTTATTGGTAAATTGCATTGATATTTGCTGACTTGATTGAACATCTACACCTATTGTGTTCTGCTATTTTACAAAGACTCCCATACCACCTTAAAACATTAATTCATTAGGTTTTACCCTAAAATTAAGAAGTTAAAAACCCTAATGCAAATATGTAAGACAAAATTCAAAAAATATAAATACTGATGTTTGACAGACTAA